TATATTTTATGTACTGAAATATTCATCCTCTATCCTATATCTGCCAAATAACTCAGCATATACAAATGCTCACATTACTCAGAATACATTGCTTATCTATTTTCATTTGTTTTGCACACATTGCCCATGTGGTGGAATACTGCTCCTAGGTCATGAGCATTAATTTGTACTTTATATTTGTGTATATTGAAACTCCATAAATTCTAGCCTTAACAAACGTGCGAGATATATTTATTTTAATATTCAAATACCCATTCTTTTTGGTCACTTGTAATCATATTTTAATATCATCAAGATTTAGGATTGCTGCAAGCCAGAAGGCATATAAGAAGCATTTAGTGTATTGCTACTATTTTTCATTCCAAACTGTTCCACAATTCTTCATAAAAACTTCTGCTTTTTACTCAGGCACTTTCTTTGGGTTTTTCTTTTGGACAATTGGAATGTTGGAACTCTGCAGTCCCAACCCATGTAGTGTGCAGCCATTTAATGGAATCGATGTGATTAATACTTTAAGAAGATCAGCTGCAAAATATAATGCACATGTCTAAATAGTGCTTTTCATCCTGAAGGGATTCCAAAGTTCTGTACCAAATTTAAGGGACAAAATGTACTAATCTGCCACACAGTAATAGAGGAAACTGCCTACTTCTGTTAAGGCTCATATTTATTCTTCTGTTAGAGATAACCTGTGCACTTACACGGGATCAGCATTTGCATACCTGAAAGTTAATTGCTAAATTATAAATTCTATGCAGGCATTAATATCTAATGAATAACAAGCAATTCTATTTTAATAATGCCTGAGAAAACTGGGATTCCCTGTCCTGAGAATTATGAAATATAAAGCTCTAAAACCAGAGGGATCATAGATAATTCAGTGTAGAAGGGATGTCAGCAGGTCAGCTGGTCCAACTTCCCCTTCAAAGTAGGGTGCTTTTGAGGTCAGACACCAGACTCAAGCCCATAGATTTTAGGGCAGATTCCCTCCAGGCTGTTGCCTCTCAGTGTCCTTGCTGTGCATCTTCTGCAGTGAATTGAGCTGCTCAAGCAGTTTATAACATCTGCATGTTCTCACTGTGGCTCCCTGCTTGAGTATTCATGTGTGTGTGCACAAATCCCCTCACATTACTGAATTCACACTGAATTTCAAATACTGATGAAAACTACTATTAAGTAGCACTGACAGAAGGGGAGCAGTTCTGTTTGGTCACTCTAAATGCTAACTTGGCTCACTGGGCATTCTGATTGACTTAAACTCCTTGATTTTCTATATTTTTTTGTATATTAGAGTCACAGCCAAATAAATGCAATTAGTATTTGGAGAAAAAGTGTGTAATGCATGATTTTTATGTTTGTGGAGGTTCTCATCTAAGCAGGAGAGTAATTCATTCCTCCTCTATGCAATATCTGGAGGATTTGTGAAGTGAAAAAAGTATTTTGAAACTAATGACTGAACTGAGAATGCCTTCCTACAAAAATCCTAAATTGCATTAAGTCTAGATTACATTGTAATTAGGTTAGATATTCTTTCAAACATGAAGTCAGTGTTTTGCTTGTTGCCCTTCAATTGACTGAATTTACACATCCTGTCTGATAGGTCACTTTATCATTACGCTGCCACAAAACTATTTAAATGGACGTTATTTTAGAGATAAATTCAGCTTGAGAAGGCTTCTTTCTCAGAAAGGATATTACATATTATGAAGGATGATGCCAGTGCTTGTATGTGATATCAGAAACATTAATACAATAGAAGATTATGGTTGTGGAAGTAGTTTTATGAATGCAATTTCACCTGGAATTATATTCTAAATGGATTTTGTTACAGTAAGATTAATTTGAAAGACCCAGCTATCTTAAATACAAATTTTACTGCATCTTTTATATATCTTTTTATTGGGTATATGAATAGGAGTTGGATATGAGTCTTGTTTGAAAAGAATACATTGTGTAATTCAAATGTGCTGGTGGGGTCAAATTTTAGCTCCTGCTCAAAATTTCAGCAAATAACCTGCTTGGCCTCTGGAAGGAACTGTGTGGCTCTGCTGCATCTTTTAGGCTGCAGCAGTTTCTTAACTTGTATTTCACATAACTTCTTTGCTGCTGCTGGTGCTCAATCAAAACTCATCCCCTGATCCTGGCAGAGCCATGGGGTGTGGTGTTGGGTTCTGTGCAGGAGGCAAGGTGTCTTTGTGCTCACATTAACAATTTTGGGGTGCAGAGAGAAACCTGCCTGCCTGTCACAGAGCTTTTGGACTTCAGCACTGCAGAGGCTTCTCTTTCTGATGACTGACCTACCCATAAGGCAGTCTCCCCTCCTTCTGGAAATTCTTTCCTATGTAGAAGGAGCCCAGATTCTGGGCTCACCTGAAGCTCTGTGTGTATGCTCAACATTCTGAGCACTCATGGACATTTTGATTATCAATCTATTTGGTTTCCTCAGGTCTCAGGACAGTATAGCGTTAACTGTCCCCCTCTTTTCCCTGCTCAGCTATTCACAGCTTGGAGGGGGAGTCACACCAGTCTCTGGTGACAGAGAACTCTGCTGGCTGTGCTCAAGAGGGAGACCTCAAGTGTGTCCCCCTCGAGTCACAGGAGCCCCTCTGCCTGAGTCACTTCACATGAATTTGGATAACATGGAATGTTCTGGGAGCAATCCCTTGTTAACCAGGCATGAAGTTCTTGCCCCCCTGGGGTTTTCTTCAATCTCAAACTTTTGTGACCTATATTGCAACATGAGCTTCACCCTCTTTTTGTTTGTGTGTGTCTCTGTATCTTTTCTTTTTTTTGTTCTTTTACTTCAGAAAGATGCAGGTGACTTTGCTTGAGACTTACTTTCTCATGCCAGCAGTTCCCTTTTGTGTGATCTTCTCTTCTAAACAGTCACTTGGTTCTTCTCCTATTTTTCTGTTTTGTTTGGAGAGTTAGATGTTACCTCAGTTCCTGCCCTTATGTGTAAAAGATTGGAATTGCAAAGATAGATGGTAGATAGAATTTAGGGGGAGATTCTGTTATAGTGTACATGGCCCAGGCAATTTAAGAAGTCTTGCTTAAAATTCCTAATTGTTTGCCTGCACAGGAGGTATTGGAGTGGAGGATTTCAGGGCTCTTTAAACATATATTTTGGCCTTCTTTTTTTTTTTTTCAGCCTGTTCAATAAATACAATAGTAACTGGGCCAGTCTGTAGTCCTAACTCAGGCATGTATCCATTTGCACAGCACATCTGCAAGTAGATATTTATTCTTTACTTCTTTGTTTGATGCGTAGCTTAAAGAAATATTTAGGGTGTTGAATAGTTTTAAACAAAATGGTTTGTCTAACAAATAAAAAGGAAAAAAGAAGCAGCAAGGCAGATAGTCAGAGCACACTGGTGACAAACACTTGGGAGCCAGGGAGAAGCTCCTGCTCCCTGTGAGCTCTCTCTGGAAAGCAGCAGCTGTGCTGTGCTCCGTGAGCAGTGACACTGGGCTTTGTGCTGCACTGAGAGCCTGGCTTCATTCTCAGCAATTTGTCAATCAATGTCACCACCCTGCTTCAGAGCCCTGGGCTGGTGCCTCTGCATGGCTCCAGCTTGTTCTGGAACTGTCCAAACTCACTCACAGGGGCCTCACCTCTCACTCAACCAACACTCTATTTCATTGACATGTGTTCAATTCTGTGTTTGGGGTTTGGGTTTATTTCAGTTGAAGTATTGAAGTATTTCTCTGTAGAAAATGACTTGTGCATGTGCCTACCATAACACTCTGTCATTTTTATTTGTATGCCCTTTCTTTGGCTTTAACTAAGCCCTGCAGGCTTTGGAAGAGAAGGATTAAAAAATAACAATAGCAAATAAAAAGCATAATTTTATTTTCAGTGTTGCTAGGTACCTCATTCTATGTACCTCATTTATTATTTGCTAGATAGCTGTAGGCATACCAGCAGCTCACTGAAGGAATGAACAGGAAATATGAAAACAGTGATTATCCTCTAAAATCCAAATTAAACAGGCTATTGTCATTACTGCTTTTATGTCATTTCTCTAAATTCTTTAGGTACCATCATCTCCCAGACTACTTTTATTTGCTGCAGTTCTGTAGTTAACAGCTGTAATGAGAAGAGGAGGATTGAAATGTAATTTAAATGTTCCCCTTGAAACTCCTGGGCATCCTGTGAGTGAGGAAACACTGTGCTGTACAACATACTCTTCACTGCAGGGCTTCTTCACCCACAGGACCACCTGGTCCAGCCTCAGCTGAAGTCACTGGAAAGGCTCCAGTGACTGCCAGAAGGCTTTGGATTAGGATGTGTGGAATGAGGTCATGTGGAAAGATAAACATGAGCTATCATATTCCAGACTGTAGCTGTGCATGTGCACTACATGGGGAGAGCTGCTGGGAGCCCACTCTGCTGGAAGATGCTGTTTGTAGAATAAATGGCTGACAGCGCAGGATCAGAAGGACTCAAAAGACACAAGCTCTTGACTTACTCCTATTCTTTTCTTTCTATTTTTTTTTTCTACAAACTGAGCAGAGGCTAAAAGCATAATGCTTTTCTCTAAGTAGTTCTGAGATACCACTTATGATTTTTTCTTTCCCCTTCATCTCTCCTATTCTCTTTTTTCTTTTAATTATACTAAGAGGTTACCTCTTCCATCAGAGTTTGGAAACTTTAAAAAGAGCAAGGTTTCTCTATCTTCTCTTCCCCTGGCTGCCCTTTTCCTTCCTTTTCTTGCAGAAAGATTTGTCCCACCATAAGTGGGAGTTCTGATGATTCTGACTGAAACCACAAATTGGTTAGGTAGACATTATGTTTTACTTAAAACATAATGTCTACTTTTACTTATAGTTTACTTAAAACATTTGTTTTAGATTTTTAAGCAGTTTATGCAATGGAGAATCTATATATGTGTGGGAAACTGGACATGTTTACTTGTATACCTGAAGTTTGGGAATATCAGAGTAAAAAGGAAATCTCTGAAGAATTTATCCAAAATAGGATTAGAATTCTTGATATACTGCCTAGATACTGGAAATTAATTTGCCAAGCTCAAAAATTAATGAATCACCTTACAATTTAATCTCAGAATAATTTCACTGTCAATGAAACCTGGGAGTATTCTCCTGTAAATACATCCAGCACCCTCCATTTTTGAACCAGATGCAGTCCATATTATGGTTTTTGCTTTCATAGCAATTCTGACTCTAATATCTCTCATATGCTCATCACACATTCTTGATGGAACACTGGAAAATGTTCTGAAAGCTTTCTTTCTGTTTTAATTGTGAATTCGTATGTACCTGTAGCAAAGCTCCCAGCTCCAATTCCACAGGCAAGCTGGAGATAGAGAGGAGGGAGTCTGCATTAGTGTTTCACCTTTAGCAGCAGCTAGAAAAGTGTGAGACACTCAAACTGCTGTTGCCTGTACTCTGCCTGTTCTGTGAATAAATAGGTTGTCAATCTAGCACTTTAAACAAGCACTTTCTTCTTTTTTAACCTTGCTTCTTGACATTTTCCATTAAGCATACTGTAATGGAAAAGATGAGGAGAATTTCTCTACACACCAGGAATAGCAACCTGTCTGCTTAGCGCGAAGGGCCCTTTTCTGTGCGGTGACTGAGAGCTCCATCCCACGCTGGATTGCTTCTTGAGATGAGATGCTGATAGCCCTTCCCTGTGTGCCTGTGGCTGCCTGGCTCTGGGAGAATTCCCCAGCCAGCCAGGAGGCAGCACACTGCTGAGTGTGGCTGCAGGATGAAGGCAGGCTCCGCCAAAGCACCGAGCACTGGGTGTGCTTCCTGCAGTGAGCCTGTCCAGCAAGGGCCATCTGTCCAGCTGGGCCACTGAACCTTGGCTGAGGCTCTGAAGGCTCCTCAGGCAGGCACTTTGTCTCCTTGTCCACTCTCCAAACCTCTTGATGGCCACCAAGCCCATGAGATATGTGGAAATCCTGTGTGTGCAGAAGATGTCCATCAGTAATAATCAGTGCTCACATCCATCGGTAGGAAGATTTAAATAGAGATAGCCACTGCAATTCCTAAATATAAGCCTTTTTTAGAAAAAAAAAGTTATCAGTGCATCATAATGGAGCTGTTTTCTGGTTGATCTAACCAACTAGAAATCTATATAGATACTTGCTTGAAGAAAGCCAAAATCAGAAACCCATATATGCACATAGGCATGTACAGAGACATAACCATGCAAAATACCTAATTAGTTGTCCATTACTTAAAGCTGTTTCAAAGCTTATTCATCATTAACTTAATAGATCTTTTAAGGAAGACATTATTGTCCAAGCACTTGGATCTTATTGTAGTGTAGTGCTGTTCATTCCCTTCATTCTGATATTTATGCTATTCAAACGCCAGGTCTGTCTTTGGAAGGCTGCAGTTAAATAAGCTCTGTGGAGGTAGCATCGTGTTTCCTAGCAACACCATGTCTGTGGCAGTGATGCTGCCTTCCCTCTCTTCTCTAAACGCAAAGTCATGTCCATTAATCCCCAGCTGCACTTAAAACTTTTCAGGGATTTTGCTAGCTCCCTACTGTTCGTGTTTTCATCTTGCTCATACGCTGCAAGGCAAACGGCTTCAGTGGTTTAATTCTCGTCAGTGCCTCGCTATGAAACCAACCGCGTGGGTATATTTACAATTACTATTTGTTTTTCATTTAAAACAAATAATTTGTCCTACACCATGATACCTCCCCTCAAAGATTATCATTTTGGTCGTTCAAACAGCCTAACAAATGAAAGAGATAAACTAAATGTCTTGAAAATGTATTCCCTTTGCTGCAAAAATAACTGATTTTTTTAAGCTATGTAGTGGAAAAATAACCCTAAATTTAAGTGAAAGGGGCATTTTATTATTTAATACACAACAGCATTGAAATAAAACCTGTAGGACTTGTTTCTGTCTGCCAACAGCTTTCTGTGTAACACGAACAAAATAGTCTTTGACCTAAGGTGATACCAGCTGTTTGAGTTCCAGGGATATCACTTTGTTGTATGGGAAACTCCTGCAGCATTGTGAGAATGAGTCTGGGGTCAGAGAAACTGCTCTCTGACTTCACCTGGCTACAGCCAAGGCAGCTGGGAGGAGCAGGAAGAGACGAGCTCGGAGCTGTGGCTTTCTGAACAGGTTTATAAAAGCACACACCTATTGTCAAGCAACACAGCCATCTCCTCCTGCTCAGACTTACTCAGTGAGAAGTTGGCTGCAGGCCTCAAATGTTCTGTCACCCACAGACAAATACTCAGGCTTGTGTGGATTTGGGGTTGATTGATTTGGTTGTACATACCAAGGCTGCAGTTTGGTTTTCTTACCTTTTTTTCACAATGAATATTCAGTAAGATACAGTAGTGTCTCCTGAGACGCTTTTGCTTCCAGGATAAAGGAGCTGAGGTACTCTTATCACCTATGGACATTTGTTAGAACATGTAAGCAGCTTAGCTAATTAATATTTTTGTTCCTAATTTAGCTCTTGTCAATTTTGGCTCATGACAATGTCATGTCATATTCATAGTCAATTAGAAACATCCATCTTTGGGGGCATCTCTTCTGATATGTTTTTCAGAAAGTGTAAGATGTGACACCAAAATATAGGTAAACTTAGTGTTAAATAAGTAGGTATTCTAAAATTACCAGCAGCGAGGGAAAATATTTTCAAAAGTATTTATTTCAACATTGTGTTTAGACACGTTCTGGAGAATGATGCAACACTCAGAACAAAAAGTCCTCTGAGCACTGACGAGCTTGGAAGATGATGTTCTCCCTCATGTGTACACACATACAGTGGGAAAAATAAGAGGCAGATCTTCTGTTAGCAGACTGTCATTTCTGTCAGCTCAAGATCTGGAACTTTATAGGGTTCTTAAAACGTGTTACAGCAGGTAGGGCTCCTCCTCCGTTCGGCTTGAGTTAGAGCCCCGTTTCTCCAGGGTGTCCCCTTCCTTTACCGAGTGTTCCTGCCAGCGGCAGAACGAAACCTTTTTGTCTGCACAGTAACCCGGCCTGAGCGCAGCGGGGTGGGGGTGCCCTGGGCTCACCTTGTCCGTTTGTCCTCGCAGATGGCTGTCCGGACCTGTGCAATGGCAACGGGAGGTGCACGCTGGGCCAGAACAGCTGGCAGTGCGTCTGCCAGAGCGGCTGGAGGGGGCCGGGATGCAGCGTGGCCATGGAAACCGCCTGTGCCGACAACAAGGATAACGAGGGAGGTGAGCAAAGGCTTTCGATCGCAGCCCCGAAAGGACGGAGTCACTGTCCTGCACCAGGGCTGCGGCAGGCACTGCTGCCCGTGTCCCTTCTCTCTCCAGGGAAGGACAGGGAGCTGTGGGCACTGCTGCCCGTGTCCCTTCTCTCTCCAGGGAAGGACAGGGAGCTGTGGCCGTGAGGGACACGCTGGGCCCGGCTGAGGCTCGGTCCCGGCGAGCCCGCCTGGGGAGCAGGGCCCGGCCGAGCAGAGCGGCCTCCTGCGGGCTCCCGGAGCACCGAGGCCACAGAGGAGGGGCTCCCTGTGCCCGTGTGCCCCTCGGAGCAGCTGATGGAGCCTCCGTGCCGGCCTCGTCCCGGCCGGGCCGTGGCCAGCGCCGTGCTCTCCTGTGCACAGCCCTGAGGGCTGTCCCTGGCTGTCCCACAGCCCTGCCGGCTGTCCCTTCTGTCCCACATCCCTGCAGGCTGTCCCTTCTGTCCCACAGCCCTGAGGGCTGTCCCTGGCTGTCCCACAGCCCTGCAGGCTGTCCCAGGCTGTCCCACAGCCCTGCAGGGCTGTCCCTTCTGTCCCACAGCCCTGAGGGCTGTCCCTGGCTGTCCCACAGCCCTGAGGGCTGTCCCTGGCTGTCCCTTCTGTCCCACATCCCTGCCAGGCTGTTCCCTGCTGTCACACTGTGCCAGGCTCTGCAGGCTGGGTGAGGTGTGCTCAATGGACATGTAGGGTTAGGGGCTGATATCCCTGCTCTTATTTTCCCTGCCCTTTATCAGGCAAGTCCCTGTTAAATACAGGATGTGACCTGTGTTTGCCTTCAAAGATATTTTTCTGGTTTCGTAGAGCCTACCATAGTGGCCTGAAAGCAGTTCTGAGGTGTTGTGCTTTCTAAACAAGATATGTTAATTTGCTCCTTCATTTAAAGGAACTTTCTTATTCCTTTCAATATGATGTCTTTAGTAAGTCGCATCAATTCTTTTTCATGTGCTTCTGCTCTCTGTTATAAACCAAACATCCGACACAGCTTTCTTCCGTGAGACTTCTTCCCTTTCCTTTGGCCAATAATTAAGCTAAAGAAAACATCCGCTGTTTACTGATTAATAAATATTTTATGAATGTATTTCCTAAAACTGCAAAGCAACATTGGGCTGTATCAAGGATAAAACTATCACTAGCTTGAGTGCTTTAGTTTTATGTAAGATTTCAGGGTTTAGAAGCTGTAAGTCCCAAACTGAGAAACAGGTGTATTTGGTTTTGGTTACATGATATGAACTACATCCAAATATCATCAACTAGTTTTAATTTGTAAATCCTCTGTTAGTTCTTTGATTTCACATGCTCAGTGCTTACTAAAGTATTTTAGAAGTTCTAAAGCTAATTCAGTTTCAGAGAAGTAGAACTTGCTTTATAGCTGTTACTGAATTGTGAAGAGCAGACTCTAACTGCCAGAGTACATTAATTGCCATTTAAGTATGCAACAAAACCCACTGAACTTGTGTTAATATTCAGTGTAAGAAACTAAAAAGTTAAATGCTTAGGTTTGCAGTTTTTACTCGCTTTGAAGACTAAAAAGGGAAATTTGAAAACAAGTGTACTATTAGAATTTCCTCAAAGAAAGGAAAAAGGTTGGAAATGTTATTAGAAAAACTGGTAGAAAGAGGTTTATTTATCTATTCAGGACATTATTTTGCACTTGTAAAACAGACAGGCAGGGGAAAAAATGACCATTGACACTATTTAGCTGCTCATCCTAATGAAAAAAATTGTAGCATTATAAAACTTATTCAAGGAAGGAGATATGTAATATTATGAATTAATAATTACTTCAGAAATGTATATTCCATTATCATGCAAGTTGCATGGATTTTGGCTTACCATAGTAAAGCACCTGAAAAAATTAGTCTAGCTGAAGGCTGGAAAGATTTAGGGGAGAACTCTTCAGATGTTCTCAGTGTTTGCATTTTAAGTAATTTTTTCCAGAGACTACAGAGGATACTGGTCACTGGTTCTTGTGAGTGTAAATAGTTTGAAAATGTAAGCTTGATCCAAGATCCAAACAACCTGAGAAGACCCTTTGACCCCCATGTTTTCACATGGGCTTTTTTTTTATAAATGCAGAAATTCATCTCATCTTCTGACACCTTGCTCAGCACTTTAATTGAATGATCATTCCTGCTCTTAATAGTCTCATCCTTATTAATTCCCATAGAATGTTTGTATAAGGGAGCTCAGGAGCTGTTCAGCACCTGTTCAGCTGCTGTTCCTTCCTCCACAAGCTTTCCAGGCATTCCTGAGAATCCAGAGATGCTTTGAGCCACGCTGTTTCCTGCACAGCTCCCTCAGGCTGTGCCACTGCAGCGCTCTCAGTCTCTCTCCTGCATTGGTGATTTGTGCTGCTGCAGTTTGCTCGATTATATTCTGGGGTTCACATTTCTCTGAGATGTCATGAGGTCCTGTCCCATGTGCACTGTGAGGACAGAGGCATTGTCCTGACCACCAATTTGTCAAATTCACAGGAACTACAACAAAATTCAAAAACTAATTTAATCACTTAATGATTAATGTCTCAGATATAAATCTGTCCTCGACCTCTGTGTATATAGTGGAGTTTTCAGGAATGGAGAGGCAGGAAGGGATGTGTGTTCTGTGTTTCAAGCTGCACCTTTATGTAATTGTGACTCTGTATATAAAGGGAGAGATAAAATTAAGTTTTCTCATTAGACAAAATGGAAAAGTGTACTATGGGAATCAATATTAAAGATCCAGCTAGTTACCAAAACCCCAAGTTTCACATAAAATGGAAGTTTATTGGAAGTTAAAGAAATTGCCTCTCCTCCCAGTCACTCTTTTAGTTTGCAACTCAGCTGAGTTTATTTGCAGCAAAGTGTTGAACTCATTTGCTGCTCCATTACCAACATTGCTCTGTTAGCAGCAGCAAGTGGTTCTGGGGTAGTACAGAACACACAAGCTGTTCTTTTGGAAGGTAGTAGGGTAGCTAAAAATCCTTTTTTTTTTTCCTAAATGAGGTCTTCTCTGGTCAGTTGAGCCTCCTTCTTTTCTGTCCATCACTGCCTGTTGTTAAAATACAATTCGTTCAGCATGTCGCTGAAAGGGAGCTATCATTTCTTGTCTTCTGTGGCAGCAGTTTAACATATTTTGGAGATTTTTCCCTGTTCAGCCATTCTTATTGCAATTGTATTTCACAATCAGATTCAAAGGCCTTGGGCCAAGTCTTCATTTTATGGATGTCAAGGAGAGTATTGCCACTGACTCCAGAGGGTTTCCCATTTGTCCTGCTTTGTCTTATTATTGCCAGAATGCAAACTCCATACCATAGTTCAAAAATATAAAAATGAAAGATTATACTTAATATTTTCTTCCCATTCCAGATTAATGTCCTTTAGTTGGTTTATTCCTAGAAGAGGCAGATGAGTCCCCCTCTCTTTTAGACTTACAAATCTTCATTTTAAGTGAGATGTCAGTGTGGATTACTGGCTTAAATAAAATGTGATTCCACAGCAGAGAGAGGAGAGAGTCTCCAAAACTGCTTTCTCCTCTTAGGGCTGTTCAGGGTGAATGATCTGAGGTAACACTGGGAAATTCACCTGCTTTTGTCCTTACCATCACATGTCAAATCAAGATATGGGCTTCACTAGGTCTTTATCCTGGAAGTGCCCAAGGCCGGGTTGAAGGGCTTGGAGCAACCTGGGATAGTGGAAGGTGTCCCATGGCAGGGGGTGGAACTGGATGAGCTTTAAGGTTCCTTCCAATACAAACCAACCTGTGGTTCTATGATAAGCCACATTATGATTATTAATAATTATCTATTATGAACCTGTTTAGGGTTACTGTGGTGCATAGGGTACTCTGTGGAAAAAAACTTGAAAGTCTCTTATTTATATTTTTGGGGGTTTTTGTTGGTTTTTCTGTTTGGTTGGTTGGTTTTGGTTTTTTGGTGGTGGTGGTGGTTTGGGGGGGTTGTTGTTGTCTTGGTTTGGGTTTTCTGTGGGGTTTTTTTGTTTGTGTGTGGTTTTTGTGTTTGGTTTTTTGGGTTTGGTTTTTTAGGGGGTTGTTTTGGGTTTTTTTGTTTGGTTTTGTTTTTTTTTCTTTTTGGTTTTGTTTACTTTTTCTCTCTGTAAGGACAAAGCCTAACTGAAAAGTAAGGGAATTCTGGCATTGACTCACTTTTAAGATCTCTCTAAGTGGGAAAGTACTTCTGTTTTCCAAACCATGTTTGGATTACATAATTTGCTCACTGTGGCTGCTTCTAAAGCTAATATCTTCCCTTAATCAGTCCCTCAGTAATCTAATCATTATTAAACATCTTTTGGAGGGATTAGAAATAGCTTTATTTTAAGACCTGTAATTGTGATTACAATATATAATCCCCCTAATAGACACGTATAACCCATTTAATTCAGCATGGCTTTATTTCAGGAAATTAAGGCATTACTGATGGTATTTTGAGGAATGGGAGAGGATATGCTACTTTTTACATTCCTATTTCTTTTGGCATATTGCATAAGGAAATCACTACTGTGGCTGTTTATACCCATCATTTTGCAGTAACTATTTTATAATAATTTGCTTGTTCCTAAATATAAAAATGTTTTTAGTATCTCAAAACAGTCTCTTTAAATGATGTATGTTTAACTAAACTTCACCTTAGACTTTGCAGCACCTCCAGCTGCATGAGACAATGGGATACACAGCAAAATTCAGATGTCTTTCCTGAAGTATAGTTTCACTAAATGTTGTCTGCAGTTGCAATCCATCACATCTGAGGAATCTTTGTTCTGAGTGTCTGGGGATAATTTGAGAGAGAGATTTAAGAATCCTGTCCTCTGCAGAGGCAGCCTTGGCAAGAGCC